GCGACCGGAGCTGAAATACCAGCATGCTCGGGTAGCGGCCGCACCTTAATGGGATAAACGACGGCCTCTTTGACTAATCGCTTGGCATCCTCCAGACCGATGATGTCCTCCCATCGCACATTGGGGCTGTGCAAATAGATGTCCTTTGGAAAAGCATACACACACACACACACACACACACACACACACAACAGAGAGTGAGTGATGCAAGTGGAAGACATAAGCCAGAAATTGGCCCCCGCACACATCCCGGTTGCGTAAATAGGTGTCTTTTAGAATGAAACATCGGGTAAGGGAAATGGATAGAGCCTGTGCCTTCATTAATACAAAAGATCAATTCATTCAAAACAAAGCCCTCTGCTGCTATGTAGTGGACACATTCAGCAAGAGTCATATAAAGGATTTTCATATTTTTACATTATATTCCAAAGAACAAATTAAGATAAAATCAGCTTCTCGCCAGGCAAGTCGAGACGAGACCAAGACCGGGACAAAAAAGACTAACTTTTGTGTGCTTTTAAGGGCTGACATGATGGTATTGACTGGCCCCAAAGTCATCTGACAAAACAGCGATCACCTCCAACAACTGTAAAATATGAAATATGTAACTGGTTTCAGTTACACTTTATATATAGATAAAATTGTAACATCAAACTGAAGATTATAAACTTGAAATTGCATCATGTCCTATTGTAGTAGTACTAGTCAAATTACACTGTATGATATCAACTTCCCTAAAACGGATAAGGCCTGTCAACACAAATTGATATGCAGATGTTATTTAAAAGTCAATGGTCACATTTATTTAGTCAAACAACACCATTTTAAGTAAAATTCTGTAATCAAACAATATAAAGACATGTGCACACCTCACTGTGTAGACTGGGGAAACGCTCTTTGTTTTTTGACCAAAAGGTGAGTGCATCACAGTCAGAGTCATTTATGCTGTCTAGGTACTTGCTTATTTGTGCTCGAGTCCTGGCTTGTGCTGCGTTGCAACCTAAATGCCTTGTAGTGTGAAAGAAGACGTTGTTTTGGGGGTGGCGCTGAGTCACTATCTGATAATTCTGTGTCTTCTTCTGTTGGTGCTGCAGGTCCGTCTCTGTCTACCTCTGTGATCAAAAGGTCTGGAAAAGGGTGCGCACACACACACACACACACAAAGACAGGATTAGACAGGATGCTTCTAATGATGCTATAAAACCAAAGACAGTGATAATAAGTGGAACAACAAAAACAACAATAACAATAAATTATTATTATTATACAGTCACCTATTAATGACTTTTTAAGGTAATCTCTGAACCTCTTCAGTGCTGGTCCGGTTTCACCATTTTGGACATCTAAATCTACCCAGGTCAGTCCAAACTGGGGGTCGAGCATGGTGGCAAGGAAGTAGATCCGATGGCTAAACGGCTCTTCTGGATCCTTTTCGTCCATGCAAATCTGCCTGAAAATTCCAGAGAACCGTTTCTCTAAGGATCTTTTCAGTGCCCTGACTATAGTTACGGCCTGGGGCATTTGTACTTCCATCTTTATAAGATGATTCTTCAAGTCCAGAACAGTGGGGACCACCATGCTAATAGTCACCTGATGATCACCTTCTGTAAGGTCTGTTGCATCAGAAAAAGGCTCAAGCAAAGCACAAAGGTCTTTCAGCTGAGCCCACTCTCGGGTTGAAAACACTAAATTCTCTGTATTGCTGCACATTTCAGTGATGGCCCCGTGGTCAAGTGTGATCAGAGCCTTTAACTGTCTGTAGGTGCTATTCCAGCGGGTGTTGTTTCCTGCTGGGATGGACTTATTGGAGCCAAAGTGTGCCTCAAACAAGTCTTTGTGGTTACTACTGCTGTGCAGCAGGTTTGTAAACTTGCTGGCTTTGGCAATGGCTCTAGCTATTGCCTTTACCTCTTTCATCCCATCACTGATTACAAGTTGCAGCGAGTGGGTGAAGCAAGAAAGACGTTCACCCGTTGACCATGGATCAGAACCTTCTGCATCCTCCCACATTGTTTCATCATCGAGGTCATCACTGCTGTCACCTTCAGGGTGCTCTACTTCTGGCATCCTGACTTTAAAGGCCCGCTTCATATTGGATGCATTATCCGTCAGAATGTAGCTTATTTTATGGCCAATGCCATACTCCTCAACTATTCTGTCAAATGCTGAGGCGATTCGTTCGCCGCAGTGCTTCCCTGTGAAACGCCTACAGTCAAGCAAAAATGATTGTAAACTGTAAGAGTCCTTGTTCTTGCAGGCAGCATGAGCAGTAACTCCCAGGAAAGTACGAAGCCTCCGGTCAGACCAGAGGTCTGTTGTTATTGCTACATTTGGCTGGACTTCCAGGGCTTTGATTATGTCACCCTTCAATTTAGTGACAAGGTGAGGTATCAGCTTCTCTGTCAAGGTGGTTCTAGACACAGGAGTGTATTTGCTATCCAAGACATTCAGGAAGTGTCTAAAATGTGGATTCTCAACGATAGACAGGGGGAGAGAGCATCCAACTATAAGGTCCTGGAGGATGGACTGGGTGATGGCCTGTTGCCTGGGTGAATTTGGGGAAAATAAGTGGATGCTTGGAGCAAACAATGATAATTGAGGCTGTGTGGGATTGACCGCTATCACTGATGTTGCAGATCCTGCTTTGTACTCCAAGTACCTACAAAACAGGGAAATAGGAATCTGTAAAACATCGGTTTCTATTCAACCACAAAAACTACTGTATCTTACAAGCACAGTAATTTTAAACCTATCAATGAGGGCAGACCTTTGCATACAAAATAACCTAATCTAATCCAGTGTGACACATATAGATCATTAGGCACAACTAGTAATAATGAAAATACTGGAGTGTTCAGGGTTGCAAGACCTTAAATAACAAGAACAGAAAAACAGTTGAATGGAATCTACAAAAGACAAAATGTCTGTGCATTAACTTTGCAGGTTGCATTAAGCCTCCTCCTGCCAGTCAGCTATCAGACACAGCTGTATTGACAAGAAATGAACTACTCAATAAAGTCTGAAGTTACACCAATACAAAATAACTGTGTCTAATAATGCTAAAATAGCCCCTACACACTGGACTGGTTTAGTAGGGCAACATAGTAGAAAACACCTAAGAAAGTCATAGTCAAAGGTCCTTAAGTTCGATTTAAGAACCTTAGGACTCAGTTTTGCGATCCGTGCTATCTGGACCAGAGCCATAGACCGCTCTGATCTGGGCTTCACTGTCGAGAACGCCGCTGTTAGCCGAGCAATGTTATAGGGACACTCTTGAAACGCCCGTCCTTATGAGTCAGCAACCACATAAATATGCCCATTAAAGTCCACAACAAACCACACCATACCAGCCCTTAAAGTGCTCACTGAAATGGTTTCGATATATTTCTGCTCAATGAATTCACCAAAATACCTAAAGTTAATGAAAATTGTTTAAGTAGCTGATAGCCACTGCTAGCGCTAGCTACCTGTACATAGCATGTAACGTAACGTTAAGTTAAAGTTAAGTCTGCAGGGACGGTTGCAAAAAAACTGTCCCTACATAATTTATAATGTTTGAAGAACACATTATAAATAACAATATTACATAAACATGACCTGGTCATCTGAGGTTGGAAAGTACGGAGCCCCCCAGGGGACATGGGAGAAAAAAAAATTAGGGAGGAAAAAAAAAAAATTAGGGAGGAAAAAAAAAAAAATTAGGGAGGAAAAAAAAAATAAGACGGACTTTTGCGAGATCTCGCAAAAGTATTGCGAGCGCTCGCAAAAGTATTGCGAGATCTCGCAATAAGTATTGCGAGCGCTCGCAAAAGTATTGCGAGATCTCGCAAAAGTTTTAGCCGCATTCTTCGGAGGCCGCCAGCTCGAAGCCGACCGGGAGGTCGAGGCACGATGTGCCGGGAAAGCGGTGTTCCTCCCGGCTGTAGTAGGTCTCGACCTCCCGTTAGCTTCGAGCTAGTGGGTGTCAGATCTCCAAAAACCTCGGAGCTCTTTTGCAAATATGTGATGTCTTGTAAACCGAGCAGGTATCTGACGTTTACACAACTACATTCACGCCTCAAAATATCTTAAAAGTGTATTTTGTGACCCAGAAAGAGTAATATTACAACTAAGTAGCTGCCGCCATTGTTGGAGTTTTGCGAGATCTCGCAATACTTTTGCGAGCGCTCGCAATACTTTTGAGAGATCTCGCAAAAGTCCGTCTTAATTTTTTTTTTTTCCTCCCCAATTTTTTTTTCTCCCATGTCCCCTGGGGGGCTCCGTAGGAAAGGTAGTTAGAAGAGTTTGAAGATGGATAGATGGCTACTGGCTAGCTTACCTTTGAGGGTGTTTGCGCTCCAGGTGCCTGGTGAAGGTTGAGGTAGTCCCGGCTGTCTCGGTCAAGGAGACTTTGCAAAACCTGCACTTTGCCGAATGCTTCTTTTTTGCATTTACCAAAAACTCTTTGTGTTCTATGAACGCAAACTTTATGACAGACGAAGTCGCTGACATTTCTGTAACTTACTGACCGGGCATACTGCTCAATCTAACGGGTTGCATTTAGTTGTGTTTGAAGGGCGCGAAAGGCGAAATAATAAAATGCCACAATGTGGAGGGATTTGAGCATGGCTGAGCCACTGTGTGTCGCTGTGTGACAGCTGAGCAGCGAAAGGAAATTAATTGAGGAGCCGGCTCTCGCTCAATGGGAGTCGACTATTCTGATTCACTACAAAGCACTCTCTAAGCACGGCTCTCAGAGCTAAAGCTTTTGCGCATGATACATTATCGAACGTTACGCTGTGTGTCATGGATACTGTTGACTCCAAATCTCCCGACCACTATGTTGACCTGAGACAGCAAGACCGAGACCAAAGTACGTCGAGACCAAGACCACGTAAAAGTGGTCTCGAGACCGGTCTCGAGACATCCAACTCTACTTAGTACACAAAATAGTACATTTCCGAGTACTCTGCTTCCTCAGTCTCGAAGTAAAGTTTAGAGGAAAGGCAATGTGCACAAAGACAAAAACGCTGCATAGAAGGAAAAAAGAAGGTGAGAAAAGAGTCGAAAGACATGCGTGCCAATGAAAATAAGGTGAGAGAATGAAGATGCAGTTAAAACATAATAGAGAGACAATTCAAGGTTCAAGGTTCTTTATTTGTCACATGCATAGTTATACAAGTATAACACACAGTGAAATGTAGCCTGACACGCTCCTCGACATGTGCAAAAATGGGGGGGGGGTAGAGGAAGAACATTATATATATATATAGTATATACATTGGGTGAATGTGCAGTAGTAGCAGCAAGCAGGTGAATTCTGTACATTAATATGAATAGACATCTGACTATTTTACAGGATAGACAATATAAACATATTTAAAATTAAAGGAATTTGAAATGTACATTGTGCCTTGGTTTAGTGTCTGGAAGAGAGTCCTGTCTCAGTCAAGTCGCGC